ATTTTTTCGACTCTGAAAATCGATCGTAATCGACTATGAAAATCTCGATCATTGCACAGCACTAATAGAATCCAAATAAAACTTTTTTATTTATAGCTAACATCCAGATTTTTAAAAAGTATATATATATTTTTGTTGTTTGGTGGCTGGCCTGCATAAATGCCATGCCAAGTTTCGAGTGCATTGATAAATTTAAAGAAATGAGCTGAAATTTTTAAAAACTAGACTTAGGCTAGGTTAAGCATGAGCAAGTTTAGTTGGAGAACTCCCTGGAAAAAAATGAATGCTGCTCGAAACTTAAGCTGTAGTTGAACCAGAAACCTGGATCGCGGAGGTATTATGTTGTACTATTTTATAAGGATTTAAGGAGAATTCCATATATACCCATCCTATCAAAGGTGTTTTTTTTAATGAATATGTTTAATTGATAATGTGGATGTTATTTTTTAGACGACTCTGAATAAAAAATTTGATACTACTCACAGTTTCTCAGAATTTTAATAATATTTAAGCATTCTTTTTCATCCTCAAGATAACCTTCCTTCTTCATTCTTCTGCCTCTTTAAAAAGTGTATTGTTGAGTAATTTAAAGAAGTCAAAACTCTCATTTGGATATCATGTCTGGCAATTCACACTGATAAAATAAGGATTGAAATGGTACTCTTAGAATAAAAACAAGTTTGCGTGTGTTTCTTTTGTGAAAGCTTACATTATTCATGTCATGTAGTACACTGAGCTGTCATCTACCTGAAACATACAAAAGAGCCTTATTTGTGAAACCAGCATCATAGTTTTTAAAAGTTGAATGTAAAATTCAGGTCGTGGCATTATAAATGACCTACACGCTTTAAAAAGCTCTTTGTTAGTGCTCAAACGATAAATTGAATGCGTAGTTTTTAAGTTGCACTAGCTGTGGTTGATTGATGGCCTAGAAGAATTTCTTGCCTCCAAAAATGAAAGTTTGGCATTGCTTTGTAATGATGACAAAATAATGTTATGGGTGTTCAACACTTCTAGTTTGGGTCAAAATATGTCAAGTTGTTTTATAGAAAAAAAGACTGAATGTAAGACAAGATTTAAATGAATGCAGTATGGACAGATGAGGTGCTCTGTTTTCATTGATTATGACAAAATATATATTATGTGTATATTGTTGTATATATATATATGTGTGTATGAATGAATGAATTGTTTTTAACTTCTGTGAGGATAGCAGTGAAGTTGTGTTTTTCTTCTCGTTCATTTTCTTTTCGTTGTAATTCTTTTTCCAGTCCTTCAAACTCTAACATGAGTGTCATTTTTTCCTCCCTTTGTTACAAGGAGATAAGAGATGTCTCGTATTTATGGGTCAGGATTTTGTTCTTGTTTTTTTTATTTGTGCAGTAAAAGATAAGTCATGTACTCTCAATGTTTACAAGTGGGTACACTTTTAATGTAGAGCCTGGAATTAGTGTGTATCGGTTACTGTGGCATTGGCTTCAGACAGGTTGGTTCTTTCTGCTTCATTCCTGTGGAATTATCGAGATACATGTGTATGCAGCCGGCTGCCCTTTCTTTCTTTAAATGTCCTTCTCTACTACTTTCTGGCCTATATTATTATATTTTTCTCCTCTTGCAATTTGCTTCATCAGACTCATACTTAAAATGCTTAAAGATTCTTCTATAAATTCTTTTTAACTTTTCTTGTTAATCTCTCTCACTTGTGTGGCTAACTTACTTGTTAACTGCTTTCCTTCAGTTTGTTTGTCATGCATGAGCCGTCTTGTCTGCCTATCGTCTATCTGGCTGAATCATACTGAATGTCTACTTTGTTTTTGTCCATCTCCGTGCTTCTCTGTCTTTGGCCAACCCCCCCCTCCCAGGGCGGTGCTACTGACTGAAGTGTCTTTTAGGCCATTGTCAAAGGGGGGGCATTTAATATGGTCTTATGCACAGTAGAATTGTAAATTTTTATTGTAAATGGGCTGAATCATCAATGTCTTGCTCATAACTGTGCCTGAACTGCAACAGGGAACTGCTGCTTTTTCTTTCCTATTCGTCATTTTTCCTCTACTTCTTTTGTTTGTCACACTCTTGTGAACTGCTATTTCCGGGGTGCCTTAATAATCGTAGCAGACTTTGTGCTGTTGAAGATAGAGAGGTGAGCAGAGTAAGCCTGATTCCCTGTAAGTACTTCTCTGTTTACATCGACCCCTTGGCACTCATATGACCTATTATGCAGTTGCGAGTGCCTTAAAACCTCTACTAAAACATAAAATATGTCTTTGGCCTCCTGCTTTTAATTTTTATTGGAATTGGGGTCATAAAACATGTTTTTTGTAATGATACACTAACCCCCCCCCCCCCCCCATTATGAATGCATCATGTTTTTTCAAATCTATGTTTACCTTTCAGTGTATTTCCCTGATTTATGCAAACTTTAAAAAAACAACCAAACCCATAAATTGAAAATTACTTTAGACTAACTTGTGTTCAGGTCATTAGGTGGCATTATAGTTAGTTCTGTTTACATCTTCCACGTTCATTATAAAATATATTTTTCTCAGTCTTAGTACCGTTGAACTCATCCAATATCCCCCTTGTTGGCTGCATACTGTCTTGTTTTGTGAAGTTCAACTATCAGATTTTCATGCTAAATTATTCGTCCCTCTTTATCTGTCTGTCTGACTGTCTGTCTGTCTGTCGAAATGTTTGTCTGTCTGTCCATAATTCTGTCTGTCCATCTGTCTGTACATCAGTCTGTCTATCTGTCTGTCTCATTCTCTCTGATCCCTTTCTCCTTTTTCTCTTTCTCTTTATCCCTCTGTCCATTTTTTCTTCATTTGTGCCATCTTTTTCTATAAATAATGCTACGCCATCCCCACCCCCATTTTCCCTTTATCTCCCCCCCACCCCC